GTTTCTATGTGACCCATTTCATGGTGAAGGCTGAGACAGGAAAAGGTTAAAGAATTTGTTCAAGTTCCTGTAGCAAGCCATGGGTAAAACAAGCATCATAATTTTGAATCCCAGTGCTGCTATGGAGTATTTCTACAAATCCACTCCCCCTCTCATTATAACAGATGTCCCCAAAGACTGTAACAATGGAAGATGGGAAAATGCAAATTTCCTTTGGGGGTGGAAATAAAACAAACTAAAGAGGAAAGTCATGCCTCACTGCCGAGGCTCATATAAACATCATCCCCTTGTGTCTCCCTGGACTGACAACACAGGATACAGTCCATCTGATAAGCTGTCAACAGATGGCTGATCCCTCATTGTACCTATTACCTACAGATGCCAATTCCAAGCAGGAACAGTAATCAGTGCTCCAGACAACAGATGGGGAACGAGGAGGTGTATCTGCTCTAAAGTCAAGAGGGAAAGTAAAGAGCCTAGTTTTCACCTCCATCAGGTTTTCTCTGAAAGAAATTCATCACGTGGTATCTGGAATACATCAGTGTGAGCTGCAAAGAATTACCACCAAAAGCTCAGGAGTTTCTGAGTAGGGGCCAATCACCACCTTTACCAAGGAGGTAAGAAAAACCAAACAGGAAACACAAAGCAAGTAAGCCATATATGATGAAAAATCAAACTCTAAAATATTATAAGGAAGACAAAAAAGGAATAACAATGGCTAACTCTAAAAAAATAACAGGTTTCAGTACTACTGGCCAAAAAAAACACAGCCATCTAGTGACTCAGAGCTAAAGGGTCAATAGCACCAATTATTACTTGCCAAATGTCCAGCTTGGATACAGCCTGTTCTATGTGCACAGACATGGAGGGTTAAATGACATATGCTACACCCAGCTAAGTTCAGTAGTTAATCAGGAGATGCTGGCACAAACACACACAGAACTTACAGGAACTGGACAATTAAACAAGACATGCAAAATGGGATCTTTTCATTAAGACAAATTACAACCTAACTGAGCTCTAGAAAGATACAGGCCCACAAACTTCATACCACTAGTGTTTACAAACACAATTAGACAAACTACATAGAGTTTTGTTTTTGATTTGAGAGTATTTTGCTATACAACCCAGGCCGGGCTCCCACTGAGTAATACAGTCTAGTTTTGAACTTACCTTCCTGCCTTAACCTCACCACCCAAATTCTGGAATTACAGGCAGATACAACCACTAAGGTACCACCACTACACCTAGCTGAGAATTTTAATCCTTCCCCTAAAAAACTACATCTTTACAAGAATCTCTCCTTGCTGGCTTAAGCATGGGTTTCTTCTCACTGTGGCAGCTCAGATCTAAAGCCATCCACCTATGCCACTAGCTTGGCAGGGATTTTTAATAAGCAGCACAATTTTAGCCATATCTGCTAAAATCATGAGCAAAAGGAGTCTGACTGGCTATGCTTTAAGAAATTATCACTGGTATGTATGGTAGAGACCATGGATATTTAGCAAGGTTTTAATTGTGCTATGCTAACCTTCACACTAAGTATGAAAACCCCTAAATATTTTCAGCTATGAGATGGTGCTACAGCAATCCTAGAGTGATATCAATATACAGTCCTAGACGTGTGAGAAATCAGACAAGACCAAAAAGAAACCCAACAGCAGGAAATCTGATCAGGAACAGAATTCAGATACAACTTCTGCATTTCCTTATGCTACTCCCGTTAGAAGTAATCGAAGTCAGCATGGCCGTGACTAACCCCCTAGAAGTAATCAAAGGCAGGATGGCCGTGACTAAGGTCTGTGTACAAGGCTTTTGGAATGAATATTTGCAGACTGAAAAATGGTGGGCCAAAAGGTAACAAAATTCCCTCTGAATTCTCTACTTACTAGCTAAGCAGTATCATCCTTGTGACAAACTTACATCCACTCTGAGGAAGAAAGCCATGCTTTACTGCTGCATTATAGCCTAATTTGACTAATTCATTTCTAAAGCACTTCTTTTTTTGGTCTTGAACTCTGGGCCTGAGCGCTGTCCCTGCGCTCTTCAGCTCAAGGTAAGCACTCTACCGCTTGAGCCACAGCGCCACTTCCGGTTTTCTAGTGGTTTATTGGAGATAAGAGTCTCATGGACTTTCCTGCTGGGGCTGGCTTTGAACTTCGATGCTTAGACCTCAGCCTCCTGAGTAGCTAGGATTACAGGCATGAGCCACCAGTGCCCAGCCAAAGCACTTCTTTATATTCTATCTCGCCCTTGAAATAGACAAGGTCATAGGAAACATTTTAACATGCCTTTCTTCAGGCCTAAGCTTATCTATCACAACCCTAAATAAGATAATGCGTATGAGAGTGCTTTATAGATAGTAAAGTGCTAAATAAAAGTAAGGTATTATTAACCTCACCTACTCTCATTAGTCATTGCTACAATGTGCCAACCATCTGTTAATTTTTTAAGCACTCACATCAACTTTAAAAAAAAATCCATACATTCCTACTTGCAGGGAACAGCCACACAAAGGGTATAGAATATCAAAGGCTAGGTTCCCAGGTTCCCCTCCTTCCCCCCTACACACACACACACACACACACACACACACACACACACACACACACACACACACACACACACACACACACACACGGTGATAGAAAGCAATGTTTTGGGATAAAGGACAAAGGAATATACTCCTGGTAGGGCTCAAGAATTTCTCAGCATGACTCTGCTCCCTTCCCTCAATGTTTAAGCTAAGTGCAGGACAGGAGAAAAACCACAGGTGTCAGAAATCAGTGCGAAGTCTCCCAACTATACATCTAAGTGCTATCATCCTCTGTATGTGTAAGGCTTACTAGAAGCCACAGGGATCACAACATAGATGGAAGCTGGCTACCTGACATCCACAGAGAAGACACTAGTTTCACATTCATGGAAAAGACACTGGTTTTCTTTTTCCACAAAAGCTCGTCAAAAAGAAAGCCTTTTAGAAGAGCTCTCTGACATATCTTCATCTGCTGCGTATGGAGAAAAGAATCACGGAATGTGTACTGCCAAAAACCAAGAGTACAGCTCTGCATCATTCTGCAGATGAGCAAACTGAGGCCCAAGAAGTGCTCTTTTCCGAAAGTCACATAACTCATTAATGCTAGCCTTAGGCCTCCTAAATCTAAAAGCCTCTTAAATCTTCCCTCTAAAATCACAGTGCTGCCAGATTTGAAGTCATCACAGCCACAGCAGCCCTTGAGATTGAATTTAGTTCTTTGTTGACCTTCTAGATATGTGGTTGCCAGAGGCCTCAAGACCCCTTTGTAGAGGGAGCACCTCTGACCCTCACCACCTGCCACCCTAAAAAAGCACTCCTGTCCAGAGAGCCTTCCACAGCAGCGGCTGAGATGTGTTGTTTTTTCTGGGTAACAAAAAGCCCATTCATAAACAAGAAAGAAAGAGGACTGGCTCAAATTTACACAGAAGGTCTAGCTGGGCCAGCCCTGGATTTCCTGTGAATCGCATCACTTCCCAAGATGCCCTCTCTGAAACAAAAAGACTGCCCATTCCATCTCCATTCCATGCTTACAGCCCAGTCAATAATGCCTCATCATTCAAGCGATCCACACCTCCTTGCCACATGTGCATACTGGGAGAGATCACAGGTCATTTACTACATTTTACAGATTAGGAAACTGAGGCCAGGGATGTGCCACCAAACATTAGTTCCTAGGAACACAGTTGCAAGCAAGTCTCTGAGCCATGAATAGACAGTACAGTGCTCATCTGCCTCTCTTGCCTTGCCTCAGGGCTGTCCCACCACCCACTGCCACCCTCAACTTGAGACTGACAGCCTGTTCCAGATGCTAATTCATCTTTTGGATGCCGGCAAGTGACCTATCACTAAGCTCTAGTGAGGCAGTAAAATTGAGATAACAATCTTAACCTCCTGCCCCATATAGGGTTGTCACAAACTGTCTACAAATATAAAAGCAATAAAGATGCTAATGATAGGTTTCTAAATTGCCCTTAAATAAAACCCACCAGTTTTCCACAGGCTGAACTGTAAAAAAGATAGAATCACTGTCCCATGCTCCCTTTTGTCCTCTTCCTCCTCCTCCTCCTCCTCCTCCTCCTCCTCCTTGTCCTCCTCCTCCTCTCTGCACAGGCTGAGTACTGAAAAGCAGTTTCACTCTTGGTCTTCACCCAGATTATTTTTCTGTATTTGGAAATTTCTCTTTCAATCCCTTTTTGTTTTCCATAGCATAGCTAATGGCTAGAAGTTTGGAAGATAAAGAAATCAGTTCTCTGATCACCCCTGGAGACCAAATGTGTGATAAGATGGAAAGGTTCCCAAAGAGTAAGTAAATACCCTTTCATCATAGATAGGAGATAGAGATCACCAGCTCCACATTCCCCAGTGAGCCTGGTCTGCTTTAGAGAGGTCCTGGTAGGGGTTTGGGGTTGCTGTAGCACCTTAGAACTCAAAGACCTCACTCACCCTAAGATCATAAATTCCCAAATGAAAGTCATTAACAGAAACCCATAAATTATTTCCCCAAAATACCACAGTGAAGACAAGGAAGCTTAGTGACCACCTCCCAGGAAGGAATAACACTAGGCCCCTGAGAAATTAAGTACTGGAAAAGACAAGAGGGCCGAGCCTTGGGCCACTGAAGTGATTCAGAAAGGGCACCTGGCTGGGGCTGGACTTCCTGCTTGGGGAAGGCCAGGCTAGGGCAGCACTGGAAAGGTAGGAGGGGCTTGGGGCTTGCATGTTGCCCTTCTAAGGTTGAGACACAAGCTTCCTCACCTCCACTGTGGCGCTGACACTTGGTGCAAAAGTGAAAAAAAAAAAACAAATCTGAAATTAGCACAAAGGCAGCCACTAACTGGAAAATCATTTTTAAGGGTCCCATTTTCCATAGAGGTGAAAGAAGTGTATCTACACTGTGGAGCTTCCTGAGCACACAAATGAGTCTTATCACTTAGGCTGCCCAGGAAAAAGTCAACAGACTCACATGCATCATGGTGACCAGGTGACAGGGGTTGAGCAGGTAGATGACGGTCCTGGTGGCGAACTTAAAGCCCACCTCTACCCCGAAGGTCAGGCACAGGGCTACTAAGAGCAGATTCTTGCTCAGGCTCTCCTTGCCTTCCTCTGGCCGCTGGGTCACCTGCTGTGGCTGGCTGCCATGGCCACCCCTACCGTCCTCCGTCCGCCTCAGGATGTGCCGCAGGGCCACCAGGATCTCCAACAGGGCCAGGGTCAGGACCACCACACTTTCCAGCAGCCGCTGCTGCCAAGAGAGGAAGGCAGCACAGTCGGGGCCCCCATTGCCTGCAAAACTGGGGTCCACGCCCCCATAGAGCCAGTCCAGGAGACTTTGGTAGCTATACCGGGACATGATGTAAAGTGGCTCTTGACCACAGTGCGGGAAGCAAGAGCGAGATGGAATAAGAGCTCAGGGTCGCCTGGGTGGTGGTACATGTAAGGAGGGCACCTCCCGCCACCCACCCCCCTTCGGACACCGGGGCACCTAGAGCAAGAAGGGACGGGCAGCTACACGCAAGGCCCAGGGTAAAGTGCTGGATCTAACTTGTCCCCACGGCTGTCTGGGGGAGCCCCCCGCGCTTCTCCAGTGGCCACCAACGAGGCAGGGTTGAAAGGAGCCGTTGGCCAATCTAAAAGGAAGGAGAGGAAAAAAAAAAAGGTCTCAAAGAGGCAATTGCATCGGGAATTAACGAAGCAGGGAGGGGTAACTAGCATGGGCAAGGAAAGGGGAACCGGGGTAGTGGCAAAGCAAGCAGGGGTTAGGGAAGCCAGACGCCGAGAGGGTAAGGGTGGAGGCCGAGGGGACCAGGCACTGCCGAGGGTGCAAAGTGGGAAGGGGAGGGAGGCCAACAGGGTGAGAGCAAAGGGACACGCGGAGGCTAGGAGAGGAGCCGGTAGGGCCAGACAGGCAGGGAGGGCGACAGGGATGGCAGGGGCGCCGGACTCCACGTCTCACGCACTGCTCAGAGAGATCGCTTACTCCTGCAACCGCGTGGCCGTCTCTGTCCCCAGCTAGCAACTTCGCCGCGGACGGCCCCTCCAACCAATTTACAGCCGTCCCGGTCGGTCCAGCCTCCCGCCTCCCGGGTACACCCCCGAGCCCCCAGCTCCACCCCCGGCCCCAGACGCCCGCCCTCCGAGCAGCACCACCCTCCGCCCGAGGCCCGCCCGGGACCTGCCCCCCTCTCCCAGGCAGCAGCAGGAGGAAGCGGAGAGAGAGGGCGGAAGGCTGAGCCAGCCCGGAGCCGGGTTGCAGCGGCCCCCACCCTCCGCCCCAGCACCGCGGTATCTTCCCGCGCCTCCCGCCCCGGCTCCAGGGACGGGCCGCCGCACCCCACGGGGGCTGCACTCACCGGCAGCCTGACCCCGCGGCCCAGGCTTGGGCGCGATCGCTCGGTTCCTTGTACTCCCTGCGCCCCAGCACTTCGCTCCTTAGGCGGCCGGGGCCGCAGCCACCGCTGCCACCACCGCCTCCGCGTAGGGCTCCACCTCCCCGTCTTCCTCCCCCCCAGCAGCAGCGGCACTAGCTTCCTCCTTCTTCCCCTCCTTCTCTCCTCCTCCTCGCCGCCACCTTCCCCCCGCCCTTGTCCCTCCCCGCGTCCAGTTCAATCTCCCTACCACCTTCCCACACGTCCTCAGGCCACCAAAACTCCGCCTTGCTTGCCCTGCGGGGTCTCCTGCAACCCCCCCTCCCCGCCCCCCTTGTCCACCGTTCACACTTCCCTGCCAGGCTCCTCGGCCCTCCCCCCCACACACCCAGTTGCTTCCCTCCCGAGACTCAATCTCCTCCTCCTCCTTCTCCCCCCC